CTAACTGATTACTTTGCCAGAATTGTTTGCAGATGGTATAAACATACTGTAAAAGCAAAAGGTGCTTAGCAAGCTGAAGCATTGTATTTGTGGAGTTTCTTTTCAGAGGCACTTTGCAGTCCCTGCACATGACTATACCCACCAAGTCTGTCTTACTGAAAGCCAAAACATTAACTCTTCCACTTGGCAATTTTAATCATGTTCATTCTACTGAGCATAACAAGCACTTTGGAACCAGATGTTTTTATTCCCTGGCCCAGGGATGGAGGAAAGGAACTTTTTAAAAAAATTATAGATTTTGTCTCATACATGATCGACGGTGCCATGTATTTATTGAAGTGCCCTTTTCAGTTTGAAGATAAAAGCAGCTCCTAATTTCAACAGAATATTGTTAAATTTCCATGAATGTTTCCAAGAAGTAACAGCAGGGGTACTGATGCAGCTCAAATATTAAGCTTGCTATACTTTTCATACATCACACACAAAATCCTGAAAATGTTATCTCATTGAAAACCAGGGAGATAAATATCTACAGCCATTTTGGCCATTTCCAGATAATTCAAGTTGTTATTATTTCATTCCTATACCACTCCATTGCTGAAGCTCTTTGGGCAGTTTATGTAAGGCTGCAGTCCTGGCTACTTCAAGATGAGGTTTCTATTCAGCAATTACCCAGCTTCATTTATGGTATTTTATGGAGGTGCAGATGACTCTGACTTTCTTTTGTAACCCTCAGGCATTTTTCCATCATTTTTTCAATAATTTTCTTTTTGTATGAAATCCATTAAGGAAGGGAAGAAGTGATAACTGCAGAATTGGTTGGTTGGTTGATTTGTTTTCTGTCCATCTGGAAGCACTAATAAAGTACTTCTTTGGAAACAAGTTGAACAGAAGCTGAGACTTGCTTAGGTTGGTTCAGCAGCTGTTACCTCCCTTGGACAGGGATTGTATGACCACAGTGGTATAGACATCAGTAGCAAATGAAAAGATGGACAATGAACAGGTTATCATTGGAAACTGTGATTCCACAGCAAGGGAGCAGAACCCTGTTAATTCCACTCAGTCTCTCATCAGCTGTGATACCATCTCCTGGACTGACTGCATAGGCTGGGCACTGAAGGAACCATGTTACAGTCATCCAATCTTACCTTTGAGAGAAGTTCAGAGAGAAATATTGGATAACTATTCTTCAATTCTTTGGAAACTAAGCCTAGATTTTCCAGGGTATCATCCTGACCTAATGTTCAACTTCTAATGGAATTAGGAAAGGCATTAGGAAATCTGGATCCAATTTGCCATCAGTATGATGATGACACACAACTCTATCTCTGTGCCATCTGAATCAGATGGGCTTGTCAGCCCATCAGTGCCTAGGCTAAGTGATGGGCTGGATGAGAACCAATAAACTGAAGCTGAATTCTGGTGGGACAGTGAGTGAGTAGTTCCAGAGTCAAAGAGACAGGCTTATTGACCTATCAGGATTAAGTTGCACTCCTTCAAAAGAGCAGGTTCATAGCCTGGGCTACTCCTAGATCCAACACTGTTGCTAGAGTTCCAAGTGACCATGGTCTTCTCATGCCTTCCTTAGTTAACTACAATAATGGAAACAAAGAAATAGAATGGACATCTTCTCCAGGGCTACCCTTCCCATGAAGTGAAGCCCCCAGTTTGCACCTGCACTACTTTTCTCAACATTGGAGAAATTGGTAAGTCTCCCCCCACTCCCAATCCATCCTTCTCAGTTTCAACAAAGAGCAAGAAAGATCAACAGTGACCTCTGTAAAACTGACAAGGATTTTTTTCTCACTTCCATGTATGGAAAATGGGAGAGTTGCTTCTTTCTCCTCCTCCTTCAAAGTGTACATCTCTGCAACACTTCCTAGCCACTCCAGCCTGCAAGGGATTTTTAAAAATTAAATACCTTTGCTGTAATTCTACCTTTCTTCCTCCATGCATTTAGCTACTTTCTACTGTTTCCAAAAGTGAACAAGGAGATGTGAAGGAGTTCATATATACAACAGGTAAGCAAGTAAGGATAGGATCAGGGTGTAATCCATTTTCTATTGCATTTTTGTGCTTCAAGGCCAAAATTACATGTGCATCCTTTCAACCTACCCAACTGCCACTTCCATCCCCCCACCCTTTTCTCCTTACCAGTGAAACTAATAAAATCAGGAGAAAGCTTATATTGGTACAAATAGGGCAGCTCAACTGCTGACAAGGTTAGGCAGACATGAGCATTTAAGACCTGTTCTCTATCATCTTCATTGGTAACCAGTTGAAGTCTGTGCCTGCTTTAAAGTGCTTACATTGATGTATAAATCCCTAAATAGCTTAGGGACTGGTTATCTAAAGGAATGTCTCCTCCCAGACCCTGGAATCACCTATGGGGATCCTTCTCCAGGAGCTGCCTTCAATGTAACGAAAGTGGCCATGAGAGGAAGGACCTTCTCAGTTGTGGTGCCCCAACTATAGAACCAGCTTCCCAGGGAGGTGCACCTGGCACCAACTCTTTATACTTTTTGGCATCAGGTCAAAACCTTGTTTACTTTTCCAGTATTTTGTTGAATATGATTACTCGATTTTATACTGATTTTTATTCATATTGTTATTGACATACAGTGGATTATCTGTTATATTGGTGTTATGCATTCTTAATCGGTTAACTGTTTTTTATGATGTTGGAATTTTGATGGTCATTGCTGATGTCCTATTAACATCCAAGTTATTTTTATTATGTCATGTTTTTATATGGTTTTTATCTCTTGTACACTATTCTGAGTGCTTTTTGCTGAATGAGCAGTATATGAAAGCTTCAAGTAAATAAATAAATAAATAAATAAAACCATCCCAACTTTAGCAGCAACTTGCTATTGTCTTTAATTAAAATATTACCTTGTACATCTACACTAGTATACTTCAAAACCTCAGTGGACCAGTCAGGTTGAGGGTATTGTGGTCCACAGGGAACAAAAAAGGAAGGGGATTCTGCTCATAGGGACCGCTGAAGTGCATAGAGGGAACAGGGGAATGAAGTGGGGGAAATGTTGCTGTGGAAACCAAATAATCATCTGCTCAGTAATTCTGGGCAAAAATGAGTACAACATGGAAACCACACAGGGTTGTTTGCCATGACATGTATACCCAGCTTACATTTTACAGAGGAGAATTACAGAGTTTAACTATTCCTATTAATTCTCTCTTTTTTTCCATAACTAAGTTTGCTTAGTGTCTTTGGTGAAGGATTTTGTAAAAAAAAAAAAATGGAAATGGAAGTATACAGTGCCTACTGAATCACCTCTGTTCGTATATTTACATACTCAAATTATTCTAAAAGGTAGTGAGGCTGGGCTTACCTTTGCAGAAGCAAACACTGATTCCTTTTCAGCAGTGCTTGTCCTACTACATGCTTCCTAATTTTATATTTAATATTGCTTTCAACCATTTTACTTTCAACGATTTTTATTCTACTCCTTAGCCAAAAATGCTCCCAGAGTGCCTTATACATATTAAAAGACATTTCTAATCCAAAGGCTCACAATCTAAACATGCAACACATAAGGAAAATGAAGTAGAAAGGGAGGAGACAATCGGCTGGGCTTTGAACTAGGCTGGTACCATGGCCCTGCTTCCGTCTTTTAACTCTCACAGTACAACCTGTTGGAACTGCTGCTGACTGCAACAGTAGATGGAGAAGGAGCAGATTGCTTTTAAATCTACCCAGTTTTTCCTGTAAGCTGGCAAAATGAGAATGATGTCCTTATTAATAATTTAGCACAGAGCTCCTGTGCCCTTGCTCCAAGTTCTGTTTTTCATTATTAATAAAGCAGATAGCAAACAATGACATAAAATACCTTCTTTCGTTATATAAAATAGACAAAATACCTGACTGAGGTGTTAAAGAAATGAGCTGTCCTAATAAGAAATGAGACTTTTCACTGCTATTGATTAAAATGTAAATAAGGGAGAGTTTGCCACGTTAGTGTATTTGTACCTTTACTGGTGGGCCATTCTGTTCTAAAATGGTATGAGCAGATGGTAATCAGATCAACTTTCACTTGACATCTGCATCTCTTCCCACGGAAAATTTAGAGGCGAGGTTTTTAAACTTCCTTCCAAAGGAAGGCAAAAAATGACTGATCCCAGTGTGTGCATGTGCAGTGGTGTGACTAAGTAATGGTAGACCCTGGATTTCATGGTCTAGGGGACAGTGAGGATGCTTTAACCTAAGTCAGGACAATACAGCATGGTTGCGGAAAGCCTGACACTGTGTGAAGTTTTAGACTTAAGGTGGTATCCTGATTTGATCTAGTTTTAGATACACTAAGGTTTGCCTGTCCTGAAAGTTCTTCCTTTTCATCTTAATCCAACACTTTTAAGTCTCATGTGCCAAAGCAAACTGCCACCTTCCCCCAAACATGAAAGTATCTGATATGTTATAAAACTATCCTTTATACTTCCACTTCCTTGTCCCTATGGGAATTACCTTGATGCTGCACATATTTCCTGCATATCCAAATAAACTGTAAATGTTCTTTTGACTTTACACTCCCAGCGTTGTCTTTCTGGGTTTTCTCTTCACCTACCATAAGTATTACTTCAAACAGGAAGTACATCCCACGCTATAAACGATCCTGTGTTTTACAACTGCTTCCACATGATATAGCACAATGTGTGGCACTAGTAATTATCACCATTAGCTGAGCATGTGCAGCTTCCCATTTTAAGCTCACTTGACTCATAGCAGTACCAGTAATGCTGGATTAAAATGGTTTGCTTGTTCCCCAGCTCTTGGGCTGGTGCTTTGGCCCCAGGGTCCAGCCGCACCGCGGTTATGGCATGGCTTTGCGTCATCCAGCTTTGCACCAGAGCTTGCCCCCTAAAAGGATGCCGCCTTCTCTTATCCTTGCAGAACTTTCAACGTGTGTGTGTGAGAGTGGGGGTGGGGGGGAGCGAGAGAAGGTACGCTTTATAATCATTGCTGTGTAGCTCCATACAACAATACTGCGGCAAACGTTGGTGAGCAGTGTGCGGCCGAGACACGCGCAACGGCGCCTCGGCGGAGCGTGGCCGCCGAAAGCGAAAAGGGCGGGTGGGAGGCGGCCACGGCTCGGCGTGTGCGTCTCCGGCAGCTCGATGGTCGTCGGGTCCCGCCCCTGGCAGCGGCCCCGACTCGGGTAGCGGCCTCCGCCGCCTCCTCCTCTTCCTGCAAGCCGCCGTGCTGCAGTTCCCTTCGTTCCCGAGCTGCGGCCGGGAGACGTGCGGCGGCTGAGCTGGCCATGGCGGGAGCGAGGGCGTCGCGCGGGCTGCCGAGCGAATGCCAGGCGGCGAGGGGGCCGAGCAGGAACGGCCGGCGCCGGTGGCGGTTGGCGCCGTTGTCGGGACGGTTGGCCGCCAGCTCGCTGGTGCTGCTGGTGCTGGTGGCGACGATGAGCGAAGAAGTGGGAAGCGCCGAGGCGGTCCAGGGCTCGGGCGACGAGAAATGCCATTACTACGCCGGGGGCGAGGTGTACCCAGGCGAGGCGTCGCGGGTGCCCATCAAAGACCACTCGCTGCACCTCAGCAAGGCCAAGAGTAGGTGGCCGACAGGCCCGCCGATCTATGCGGGAGGGCGAAGAGGGGGCAGGACCGCGTGGGGCAGGCGGGAGTGTGGGAGAGGTTTCGGGGTGGTGGAAGAGCAGAGGAAAGCGCCCGGAGCGACCCTCCCACCTCGCCTTTCTCTCCTTGGCGCCTTTCTCTCCTTGGCGGGCAAGGAAGAGCGGCCTCGGCCAGGGAGCCCCTACCGTGCAGCCTCGCAGCCTGTGGCGCGTTGCTGACGCGGCTCTTCCTTCGCCAGCTGCCATGGCACCCGTGAGAGGAGGAGTGGCCGCGGTTAAGACCCACAGCCGACTCTCCTCTCGCCTCACTCCGCAACGCCACTTGGGGAAAGAAAATTCACGGGGCTGAGGAGGTTGGGAAGAGAGGAACGGAGGCAGAGAGAGCCCTGGCTGGAGACCGGGCTGAGAAGGAGGGCAGAAAAAAATTTCGCGGCGACGTGCCTTCTTGAGTCCTCGGGGTGATGCTTGCCTGGGCTGGCTACAGAAAACGGGGGGGGGGGGGGGGGGGGGTGCTGTGAAGTTTTAAAGCACCAGCGGTTTTATTGTGTCATAAGATTAAGGTTATGCCATAATAAATCTGCTCAAATTGCTGTACACCTCCTCCTTATGTCTTCTTAAGCAGCCTTTGCAGAAAAGAATAGGAATGTGTAGCCAAAAAGTGCGGTTACCTAAATAGATAAACACAGAGTTTAAAAAGACCCCCGCCCATAGCAGAGAAATGAGTTAAAATAAACAGTTGTAACAACTCCCCTTTGTTCCAAATATTTGCTTTCCTTTGCCTATGCACAGTTGATAAGATCTTCCTGGCAAAAGACACGTCAGATGAAGCCTATTGGTTTAAAGTGCTGAGAAGCTGAATAAAGAGTAATCTGTTCAAAAGACTAAAAGGAAGACACATGTTTTTGAAGTTCAAAAGGTGTCAGTCTGCCAGATTCTGAAAGTGTAGAAGGGCATTCTGTATTAATGCGTTAGTACAATGAACCAAAATGGTTTTATTCAGGACACCTCCTGTATCAAATGTAAAATTTCAGGATAGAATTACACTAGCAGTTTTTTAGTTAAAGAATTTGCAGAAGCCACGTTGCTAAGAAGAATAATTCAGAATAAGCTAGCAAATTCTGTCTATGCATCAATTCCTAGTAACATGCATCACATCATAGCCAAGGGCTTTACATTTTCACTGTAAACCAGCTTCCAGATTCCATTAGGCATGACAAATTCTTGGAAAATAATTAAGAAGAAAATGAGACATTTAAAAGCATCAAGACATATACTATAAACAGTTTGCATAGGCTGATAGACAAAGAAAGTGTTTCAGTACAATCATGTTTCAGTCTTTTAAAGCTGCAATCCTATACTCAGTCATGTGGAAGTTCCCTTGAACTCAATAGGACTTCTAAGTAGATATGTATAGGATGTGATTCATGTAATCATTAAGCTATTCTGTGCTTTACTTCAAACTGGACCAGCAGTTGAACACAGGCATATTTAACTTGAGTTACTTAAGTGCTGAAAACTAGTTTAGGTTATTAATTTGTAGAGGTGCCTCTGAATATACATTCCCCTTATGGCACGAGTAAATTTTAAAAATGCAGAACCTCACATGTACAATTGTCAGTGCAAACCACTGAGCTATCACTTCTTAGCACTTGCCTTAATGACAACAGGATCCATTTCAATAATTGTACAATAATTTTACACACATTGTCTGTAATGTGCTAACTAGGCTTATATGGCAGCCATGTTTGCAAATCAAGATTTCTGCTGTGTTACTTTTTGTAATCTGAAATAGCAGTTATACCTGAAAAAACTCTATATCTTTGTATATTATTTGAAGAATAAGGTTTTATAGAGCAATGATTATCCTAAGAATAGGATACCTTCCTAACAATAAAATATTCACATCCAGATTCTAAACATTCACAGTAAAATTACCTGGGCAGTAGAACACTGGTATATCCTTGGTATACTAGTTCCAAACAACTTGCATGCTATTGATGCATCTCATAAGTTTCACAGTTGGAAATACATTTTCTACCAATTGAGTTTGCCCATGATTGCATCTTTAAAATGAAAATTATTTTTTCTATATACTAGAATGGAAATATTATCTTTGCTTGAAAGAAGAAACTCTTCTGTATATGTAGATTTTGTGCTTACACTTTAAAGTTCAACCTATTCTTTTTTATTTTTTAGTTTCTAAACCAGCACCTGATTGGGAAGGAACAGCAGTCATAAATGGAGAATTTAAAGAACTGAAATTATCAGACTATGAAGGAAAATACCTTGTTTTCTTCTTTTACCCTCTTGACTTGTAAGCAAAATTCCTGCAGTGTATAAATATGTTCACGTAGTTTGCTTGTTGATCAAAGAAATTGCAGCACATGGTAGCTGCAAATCGTAGGCAAATTATCCCTTTGTTAAAAAGAGTAATGACATTTATGCTTTATTTGCTAGAAACATTAAAGGAGGGCTAGAAGTCTCATGGATTACATCTTAAATCCTTTGTAGCACAAACATATATGTGCTCCCGAACATGGGAAAACAAGATGGGAAAGAGTAAGGTCAATCCAATATAATACACTGAAAACACTTTCAGTTCCTTTAAGACTTTTAGAGAGTAATTCAGTGGCTCCTAAAAAGCATCAGAGACCATAGGATATTTAGGATATCATCCTCTGAGGCCATAGACAAAGCTACAAACGTAAAGGGAGAGATGGAAGTGTGGATTGCTTGACATGCACAAGTGCAGCACAGCTACTGTGGAAACCTCTGCAGCAGCTGTCTGCATTTTCTATCTTATCCCAACGGACATCCTCACTGTTCTATGGCTCTTAGAGATCACTGGACATACTCAGTCTTCATCAGACTTTTCAGTTTTCTTTCTTTAAAACTTAACAAAAATATACCTGAACTTGTGCATATCTGGAAATTTCCATAAGTATACAGAAACCATTACATGTCCCAGATTTGCAGAAACTGCAACTTAATTGGGGAACAGCTCCCTCCTGAAATTTCCTCATGAAAAGGAACATTTTTGTTGGGATGTGTCCCTAGCACCTGATGTTTCTGATGAATACCTCCTTGAATTAAGTTATTTCAGTTTGCACAGTGGAACAGGTTAATTATTCATATAGCTCACCCAGTCTTGAAATGAAAGACGAACCCCTAAGTGTGTAAAAGGATGTGGATCCCAACTGGTGCTTGCAGAATGTAAATCAAACATTGTACCTGACAGTATACTCCTCAGTAAGTATGCTATGCTTCCAAATAAGTATTTTGAATGTCTATGATAAACAGTTATTTATTTGATTTATAAAACTGCATCCAATAGTCCCAAACAGAACTCTTGTTATGCCAACAAGCTCACAGCTATGCTGTTAAGGTGGCCCTGCAAGTATATCCCATTGCAATTTCCAAAAATGTTTGGAGTAGGATGTTATTTAAGAGGACAAAATTCAGTGGAAGAAAACTTGTTTTATCTACTGCAGCAAACTTAAGTACTTTATGGAAGAGTTCTCTGCATTAGTGATAATGCAATAAGAAGCTATTTTAGTTCTGAAAAATTAAAATGTACTCTCTTTTTTAATTTAGCACATTTGTATGTCCAACGGAAATAATTGCCTTTAGTGACAGAATTGAAGAATTCAGAGCAATAGATGCTGAAGTAGTAGCTTGCTCAGTAGACTCACAGTTTACTCATTTAGCATGGTATGTCCTTTTTCCACTTTTTTGTTTATGCAAATAATTGGTGGGATTATTTGATTTTATGTGCAAAGTAAAACTCTTTAGGAAACTTTGGACTCAATCCAGTTGAGCTGTGGGTATCTTGTGGCACTCAATCCATGTGTGCCACAAGATACCCACAGCTATCACATGAATTCATCTCACAGGAATCCTGTAAATAGGTTTAGGAGCTTGGTGGCAGGAAATTCCTGCTTGTGGCACAGTGTGCACAGAAGAGGGTGGGTAAGACCCAAAGGGCTACTGGATCACACTTGTGAATGCACCACAATAAAAGTATTAGAGTAAAATTTGTACTGGAATAAAACTATTAGAATAAAAATTTTCTTTATAGTACTGGCATTTATTACCTCTTGTTAAGAAATTCATAATGAATTTGTGGGTCTTTCTTAGGATGTATTGGTCTCTAAAAGAATGTTTATTTACAAAACCAAGATTTAGGTCAATGTAAGAATCTCACATGGTAGGTAGTATGATCTTACATTCAGTTTTTTTTCTTAATTTGAATTAAATTCATGGTAGCACTAAAATACGTTTATAAAACAATCTGTTCTTATTATATGCAACATTGTATCAATATTTTAAAATGAAGTAATTCGCACTGAATTATTTGGCAATCTCTATTGCAATAGGATTAATACACAACGAAGGCAAGGAGGTCTTGGACCAGTGAAGATACCACTTCTTTCAGATTTGACGCACCAGATTTCAAAGGATTATGGAGTTTATCTAGAGGACCAAGGACATGCTCTTAGGTATAATTTTAGTTGTAATTTTTTCTTCTGTTGTTGCTACTGCAAAGGTGATGTAGTTAATCATTGTTACCATGTTTCTCCTACCTAATTTTGTATTAAATTTTTATTATGTTCAGCACACTAGATCTTGTTTGAAAAAAAGTTGCAATATCAGATTTAGTAATTTTGCAACAGCAGTTCACTGAAGCTGATTCTGACAAGAACAGCCCTTAAAAGTTGGGTCAGCAAATGAAAGACCTACTACAGTAATCTAGTACGTACATAGTCAAACCACATTGTAAAATTAAATATAGTACGTTTTTAGAGGTTTTATAGAAGTGTAGTGGACACATACTTCAGTGTAAACACAGAGTGAGCTCATTCATATTTCTCTTATTTATCTCTTAATTTTTTTCATGTTTGCTCAGAGGCCTGTTCATTATTGATGACAAGAAAATTCTTCGACAAATAACAATGAATGATCTTCCAGTTGGCAGATCTGTGGATGAAACTCTTCGTCTAGTTCAAGCATTCCAGTACACAGACAAACATGGAGAAGGTATTTCCACTCTTAAATACTTTTGCAACTCATGTGCTGCATTGTAATAGCAGTGAGAAAACAGCTATCTGGAATAAGATTGCTTGAGGAAGGAAACCCTGAATTCTCCTCCCATTGATCTTTTCCTGATTTTGTATGCTGAACTATGAGTGAAAGGAAATTTGTGTATGTGTGTGTGCATGCATTTGCAGTCCTTAATTTACTATGTGGCACCACATGTAAACCTCAGGGACAAAAAGGATGCCCACCCCTGATTTAGGATGAGAACTTTTCAATCACCTGATACTTTTCTCATCTTGGCAATAGGTGTTTGCAGAAGGGCTAAGCTACAAAACAAGAATGGGAAAGTAGGAGGTTTTTTTACTAGCAAAATAACATCTCTTTTTATTGCCTTCTCAGTTTGCCCTGCTGGTTGGAAACCAGGCAGTGAAACAGTAAGTCTAAGTTTATATTACAGTTTGAAAAATAGCTGTTATTGCACTCTTTATTTGAAACATGTTCTTTTATGTTTAGTGGGGAATGTCACCACCAAGCCAAAAACAAGGTGAAAGTAATTTGAATGCTCTTTGCAAACTAGGTGGCTGCTCTGCATGATAAAGTTTGTCATAAGACCTCTGTAATATTTCACATACTTTTTCCCATCACCCTACAACTGTTTATGAAGTAAAGGCATTTAGGACTTGAGTAAGCCCTGAACTGCTAATTGCCAACGTCTGTTCATATCTCAAGTACTTCTGAAAGATGCAGCACTAATTCTTTTATTACATGCAAGTGCTTTAATGTTGATATTAGAAAGACCCATGTTTAAATTCTTGGAGTAACAACTAATTAATTCAGTTATTCAGGACAGAGATTAATGGATAATCATCCCTTTTACATCATCACTGTGTCTCTATTATACTCAACTTTTTAGCATGTGTTAGTTTTTTTTTTTATTTCACTCACTTGAAGAAAAAAAATCAAGATGAATATTTTCAAATGGAAATAGCTGCTCTATGATGAGCTGGCAGTATAGTAGATTGTGATAAATCTAGTATTAATAGTCTGCCCTACAATTCTATAACATTTCAGTAGGGATGAAAAAGCAAAAGAAAGAATACCAGCATTTATGTTTTCCTGGTAACTTGCATCAGTAATACATGAAACCACAACTTTGTTGAACACTGAGATCCTCAAATTCTAAGCACATTTGCTCAGAATATCATTAAGTGAGTTTATAAACAGTGTGCAGTATTAGTTTCTATTTATTTCTACAGCATAGAGACTTGCAGAATAAAGAAACAACAGTCTAGGTTATCCGTGGAGATGCGCAAGGAATCCACTTCAGGTGTAAAATCCGCTGGATTCCTGGATTCTGGTACACTTTGGAGCAACATGCAATATTAGTTTCTGGCAAGTGCTCCTGGGTTCACAGGGCACTGAACAAGCAGCACCATGGTTAGCTGCCAGGACTGGTGGCCAGCACACCCTCTCACTGCAACCCTTTTTTCCAAATGCATGGAGGGAGTAGCTGCTGCCAGTGGCAGCCAGCACACCTGCTCACTGCTCCCCTTTTTGCTGCCACCAGCAATGAGTGGGAAGACAATCCTAAATACTGTAGCGCAGTTCCATGTTACTGGATTTGTTTTTTCCTCTTCTGAATTTGATCATAACCCATAGAAGTTAGATGTGGTTAGGCACCAATAAAATTGGTGAGGGCAGAAACAGTTTTGTATTCCCTTTATAACAGGAATAGGGTTGGGGTGCTACTGTTATGCCAGTAGAATAGCACCATATCCAACGTGTGTTCAGTCCAGCAAAGGAAGAATACAAAAATTGTGTAAAAACAAAGATAGGCCAGTAGAGTCCCTGGAAACACTGCCAGTGACTACCAGTAAGGGACTATGCCAGCAATAACACAGGCAAACAGAGGTAGCATTTGAACTCAAAATGAGAGATGCCTCCCAAGACATGTTCCTGTACTATTGCTAGTTCACAGGCATCCCTTAAAGGCCAGGCTTTGAATCCCCCATGCTCCTCATAACCACTGTTTTGGAGTACAAAGGAGAGCCTACAAATGCAGGACCCACGTAGCTCTGTGGGCAGAAAGCCTGCAAAGAGTACACATAGTCCTAAGACAAAACCCAGCCAGGTAGGAAGGACTTGACACAGCAGCCAAGGACCAGAACATACAACAGGATAGCTTCAGACATACACTAAACAGCAAGAGCCCCCAGCAATTCATTGTGTATGGCATGGAGTTAGGCACAGGAGACTGGCAGTTAAGCCTCATCAGGATAAATAAGGACAACATACTCACTTTTACCTTTTGCATGCCTAGAAAGAAATGTCATTAGCAGCAAAAGAGACATAGCATTTGATTGACAGTTTGGTTACTAGAAATACATAATTGAGCCACATTCTGCTGCTGTTCTGATAGGATTACTTACTCTTAGTTAGCAGTGCCATTGTTTACTGCAATAATTGCTGTAACCATAGTTCTTTGTCGTGGCCTCTATGCATCACACGTATGGGTGCTGCGGCTGCACAGTGCCTAGGCCAGAAGATTAGAAAGCTAACGGTTTTGGCGGGAAACTCCACTCCCCTCCCCCCCAATGGGATACATAGAGCGGAGTGTCCGCCATTTTGCTCAGTCTTTGCAACTGCCATTCGCTGTGCCTCGTGCCTGTATGTCTCTCGCTTAGATCCTCATGCTTACTGTTCGTGTACTTTTTTGCTATATCTTGTTCCTATCTCCTTATATTCCAAGTTTTTGCTCTTATCCCGTCTTTCTTCTTTCTTCGTTCCTATAAAAAAACAAAACAAAAAAAATTATCTTACCCTCTGGGCTCGGCCTCCGCATATCGAATTATGAAGCAACACTGGCACGTAACCAGTACTTCATAATGCAGAAACTGGATAACGTTGCCACCTCCCTTCCGGAACAACAAGCGGACTTGGCCAGAGTCTTCATAAAGGAGGCGATGCAGGTGGCGATACAACAACTCTCCACTGCCAGGCACCATGCGGACACTGACTCGAGGGCCCTCGTCAGTGCCATCTCTCTACTACGCCATGCGTGGCTGCGCAACTGTAATTTTCCAGATGAGATGAAGAGGAGGATCAAGGAAATGCTGTTTGATGGCACCAGACTTTTCCATCAAAAGACCGACCACGACCACAAGTAGATGTTGATTCATGAATCGCATATGACCGCACGCCACATGGAGCTTCCTCAACAAAAACGTAAGTGGCAATGGCCTCGATCCTCCTACCAACAGCAATATCAGCCTCGACAGTAATACCACCAGAGGCAGCAGTGTCACAGGCAACCGTCGTAACACCGAGAAACGCTAACATTGACGGTCTGGGCAGACAATTCTCTCTCTCCACTCCCCACCTTCCCCTCTTCCTTTTGGGGACCAGCTCCGAAGCCAACTCCCCATTTGGGAGTTCATTACATCTGATAGGTGGGTGTTGTCCATCATCCAGCTCGAATATTGGATAGAATTCAATGTCATTCCTCCGTCAAGCCCGATTCATTATACACCCCGCTCTTCGGTACTATGTGACGAAGTTTTCCAGCTACTTCGTCAAGGAGCAATTCGACAACTCCAAATCTGAAGGGTTGCATGGATTCTATTCCAGATATTTTACGGTCCCGAAACGGGACGGTGGTCTTCATCCGATCCTGGACTTACGAAATGTCAACAGGTACATCAAACCCAAGAAGTTTCAGATGACCACCTTACAAAATATCTTTCCATTGCTGAGGAGAGAGGACTGGTTCGCCTCACTGGACTTGAAGGATGCCTACTTTCATATTTCCATCCATCCTTCTCATAGACACTTTCTTCGCTTCACTGTCGGATCCGACTTACTTGAATTTAATGTCTTGCCTTTCGAACTGGCAACTGCGCCCAGAGTCTTCACGAAGTGTATGGCTCCAGTGTGTGCATATTTAAGGACTCAGGGTATACAAATATACCCGTATTTGGATGATTGGCTCATTGTGTCGCAGACTAGACAAGGCCTTCGTTCAGCCGTACACGAAACCTGTGCTTTACTTGATAATCTTGGACTTTGCATTAACCGTGAGAAATCGTCCCTTGTCCCCACACAGGTCATCGATTTCATCAGAGCACGCCTCGATTCTATCCAAGAGAGAGCTTTCCTTCCTCCGAACCGTCGAGACAATCTCTGCAAGCTTATTCATCAGATTCGACTAAACAGGACAGTACCGGCCGTCACCATTCAGAGACTCTTGGGACACATGGCTGCTACAGTTGCCATCATCCTGTACGCCAGACTAAGACTGCAACCCATACAGCTGTTCTTGAACAAGTCCTTCCAGCCACTGTGGGATCCACCCGCCAAGCTAATCCGGATCCCACTGTTGATCCTACATACCATGATTTGATGGACTATTCCAAAAAATCTGTCTGCCGGCGTTCTGTTTCGGCCACCTCAACCAACGACAACCTTGTACACCGATGCATCCCTTGTCGGATGGGGTGCAGCATGTGTAGGACTTCGGGTCCAAGGGACTTGGAACCAAAGGAAAGCAATGAAGCATATAAATTTCCTCGAGCTCCTGGCAATTTTCAACGCTTTCAAATCCTTCGAGACTGTTCTACGCCATCAGGTTGCCCAGATTGCTTGCGACAACATTGCTGCTGTTTTTTACATCAACAAGCAAGGCGGGACAAAATCGCCAGCTGTAGCGCACTTATCGATGGAAATTTGGGATTGGTGCATCCCAAGGGACATATTACTCCTTGCGGTTCATTTGGCCAGAACTGACAAAGTCGAAGTGGACACGTTGAGCAGACAGATGTCAGCAACACACGAGTGGGAATTGGACAGGCAACTTTGCGAACACCTTCTCCACTGATGGGGATTCCCAGACATGGACCTGTTCGCTACCCAGAACAACAGGGTATGCCAACTGTATTGTTCGAGAGCGGGTATCGGATCAGGATCGAGAGGGGATGCCCTTACGATCCCTTGGGACAATATGAATTTTTACGCTTTCCCTCCAATTCCGCTTATAACAAGGGTGGTGTCGAAAATACTTCAAGACAACACCACAGGAATATTAATAACTCCGTGGTGGCCAAGACAGCCTTGGTTCCCCACTCTCCTTCAACTGTCCAAAGGAGTATTTCTTCAGCTTCCCACCATTCCTCCCTTGCTGAAGCAACAGAGCGGACTGATCCGACATCTGGATCTGACATCATTGAAGCTGACAGCTTGGCACATCACCTAAATCTTGCCACTGACTCAACTCCGACGTCTTCTCAAGGACAGTACAACTCAACCCGACGAACTACACAGAGTACTTCTCCTTCGAATTCAACAGAAGGTGCTTCGGTACCGACAGCTTTAGATCCTGATATTCAGGCGATTCTCAAGTCTGTTTTAAGACTGTCCACCCGGCGGTCCTATGCAGCAAAATGGAAAAGATTCTCATCCTTTGCTGAATGCCATTCACTGGCTCCTCGGATGGCTTTGATTGAGAATATATTGCGTTTCCTTCTACAACTGTACCATTCAGGACTTAAACCATCATCCATTAAAGTATACGCAGCTGCTATATTGCATTATCGGGGCAACATACAAGGCTCTTCAGTTTTCTCTCAGCCTTTGGTTCGGTGCTTCATTAGAGGATTACAGAATTTGCACCCTTCTATGCTAACATGGAGCCTTTCTGTAGTGCTTCAAGCACTTACAAAACCCCCATTTGAACCCTTGGCGACTGTTGACCTTAGTCTACTGTCTTGGAAAACAGCCTTCCTTATTGCGGTCACATCAGCTTGGAGAGCTAGCGAACTTTGTGCTTTTAGAATAGACCAGCCGTATCTGAATTTTCACAAAGAAAAGGTCGTTCTTCGGATGGATTCTTCGTTTTTGCCGAAGGTGGCTACATCGTTCCATATGAGCCAAGAGATTGTTCTGCCTGCGTTCTTTCCATCGCCCTCGAATCCGATTGAGAGGTCTCTTCACACTCTCGATGTTACACACTGCTTGGCTTTTTACAGATCCCCTACAGAATCCTTCCGTCGCTCTAAAGACCTTTTATCAAGTATGCAGAACATGACAAAGGGTCCCCAGTCACATCTCAGAGACTTTCTAAATGGATCGTCGAAACTATTGTCTTGGCATATCAGCTAGCAAAAATGGACTTACCTGTATTTCCAAGAGGTCATTCTACACGAGCAGTAGTGACTTCATCTGCCTTTGCCGCGCAAGTTCCACTTCAAGATAACTGCAGAGCGGCTCCATTTACTTTTGCCAAGCATTATCGGCTGGATGTCCGTGCCAGACAAGACTGCTCTTTTGGCAGAGCAGTTCTCTCATCTGTTCTTCATTGACGACACCTCCCTCCTCCAAGTCTGGTAAGCTTGCTAATCACCCATATGTGTGATGCACAGAGGCCACGACGAAGAAAAGCAGGTTGCTTACCTATAACTGATGTTCTTCGAGTGGCCATCTGTGCATTCACACAACCTACCCTCCGGCCCCACTTGGTGTCGGTGAGTGGAAATGCTATTCATCGGTACCGTGTCTAAGTATTTAGAGTACTGATGGTGATGATGCTTCTTGTAAAACATCATTACAGCCGTTAGGGGGCGAATGTTCGGTTTTCAAGACTGAGCAAAATGGCGGACACTCCGCTCTATTTATACCATTGGGAGGGAGGGGAGAGGAGTTTCCCACCAAAACTGTTAGCTTTCTAATCTTCCGGCCTAGGCACTGCACAGGCGCAGCACCCATATGTGTGAATGCACAGATGGCCACTCGAAGAACGTCAGTTACAGGTAAGCAACCTGCTTTTAGTGCTAAGTAGGAAACTATGGGTTGGGCAGTAGATGGATGTACAAACACAGGGACTCACAGGTTGCTTACATTTATGGTGATACTTGAACCAAATCTTTGTTATATTAATATATGGCATTCTTGCTCTGATTCCAGTAGCATTTTTTCATACTGAAATTTAATGGATGGCTTTTAATTTGTTTAAATACTATTGTCAGAGCAACAGTATGTGCTTAGTGCCCATGTATGTGCCCCTTTAAATCCCTATCACTTGTGTAGGTTTTTTTCCCCTTCAGTCAGCTCTGACTAGAACAAGTTTAAATGGTTGCAGTTTGCATTAGTCAATCACTCCCATTTGATCCAACTTAAAATGATGTAACACCTGCTTGTATTAGAAGAGGAGTTCTTAATAGGAACAAATGTAAGGGACAGTTAGTTTTTTAATGTACAGTTTGAGCCTCTTAATTGAGAGCACAATTAAAGGTAGCTTTATCAAACCTTCAGGAACCCTTTTAACTGTCTAGAATTCCTTCTCCCATTTTTGAAAAAGGCAAAATAAAACCTCTTAGGAATAAATTAATAGATACAAAGTAAACAATAAACACACACCGAAAGTGCATTAATGTAGTCATGCCTTCTGCATGTGTTTAGATCAAACCTGAAGATTCTATGAGAATGTGGTGGTCAAAAGAAGAGCTGTAAGTGTACTTGGCCACTTGAATACTGATGGTAATGCAGGTAAATAATCACAGGGTTGATGAGGCTAATTAATCAGTGCTGGCCTTATTTCACTTTATATAACATAGTTATATAGCAAAAATAAGATTTGTTTGGGTTTCAATAACGTATTTTTTCCTTATATAGATAATTCCAGATCCTGCAGGAAAAATGAAGTATTTTAATAAAGTGAATTGACTTCTTTCTTCTAAATATACAACTAAGAAGCTGCCAATAAAGTTTTGATTTTGATAATTGCAAGAGTGTTTATTTGTGCAAGAATCCTAATGACATTTGATCTGTGTGAGTGGGGTTGAGGGGTTCTCCCTAAGTAGAATGATGGCACTAAGATGGTAAAGCACGTTTGTCATTTTGTCATTTTTACTTCAGCAGATAAAATTTTCAATCTCAAGAAACTAAGTTTCACATTTCAGGGAATTATTCGGCCTGTATTGTATGATCAGATTCAATAATTCACCCTTTCAATATTCTGTGATTACAGTGAGACCCATGAGAGCTAACACACAGAAATAAATATAAAGAGAGATAGAGATATAGCGTGGGCGGTTTCTGAAGCATCCAGTTCCTTTGATGCTTAGAAGGTGCATCGGGCAAGGTGAAAATTGATTTCAGAATTGATTATTGGATACTGTTGTTATTGCATAGTATTGTTATGCATACTATTGCATACTGTTGTTATTGAAAGAAATAATGCAAAGTAAATTTCATTGATTCTATACATTTCCTTCATAGTGAACATGTTTTTAATTATGTTAGATGAATTTCAGAGCCTACTCAGTTCAATTATTCAGGCTAGCTAACAACCAGAAATCAATAAACTAAATACCAAACACTGCATTGTAATACTAGATTTATACAGTTGTCATAGCTGCCTATTCTCAGAGCATGTCTCCTTTGAGGCATGGCTATGCTGCAAATTTTCACCAGGGGGAGTTGCCTTTTCAGTGTCAGAAGTGCTACAGCTAAGGAAAAGTACCCTAACTAATGCAAACTTCAAGATACAGCTAGCTTTTAAACAATCCTGCCAAGCATAGTCTGCCCAACACAGTCTAATGAACTTTACTAATTTTACAATATTTATGTAATTCCCACTAATAAAGTTCTCAAGATGACTTACAGTAAACAAGAATGGAAATACAGAAAAGTGTTCCAGTTGGTTCCCTTGTGGCACAGATATGCAGTGAACCTGACATGCAATGTAGGCATTTTTGCAGAATAAAAGTGTAGAGTAAGGGAGAATATGATCACTGAATTGTATGGTTCACAAATGACTTATACCCTTAAAAATCAAAACAGGATGCAATATTAAACTGCACTCTCAAATAGCAGCAAGCCAAGTCAAAGCAAATGCACTTGTTTAAATAATGTTCTCAATGACCCACCTAGTCAACAGATAGATCCAGATGATCATTAAGGATATCCAACGTCAGCTATACACAGACCTTGAGGTTATGAAGGTACTGAGTAACTGGCAGTAACTGCAGACAAAGGTGACTGCAGCCTACTCACCAGGACACAAGACCCACTGCCTAATACCTTTATTGCTTGGAAAAGAATTCATAATCTCCACACACAGCAACTTAGATTGGATTTCAGCTAGATCTGAGTAGCCATTTGCAAATGGAGCCTCATAGGACCTTTCTACGTATGGACAGGATGAAGAGGGTCTCCTGGAAATGGACTGAAAAGGCTTCCCTCCAGATGATACACTGTAGAACATTGCTCCCAAATGGCCTGTCCCTATTGCATGTCACTGCTGACACTTCTGAATCAACCTAAAACCAATCTTTATTCACTGCAAGTTCACACTGTAGGAAAGATCAGGAGGGATAGGAAAGAGCTGGTTTTCATGGAAGTTTTCCATTGCTAATTTTCTCAATGAAAACCCCAAGAAGCTCACATTTTGTTGGAAGATAATCTGAAAAGCATCATCTAAACCAAATACATATCTATGTGAACACAGAACTTAAAAACAGACAAAATATTCTTGTAGAAAGTGTAACTGACAGGAACAGATACATTGTTTCAGTAGCATACACACTTATATTTATTGTATATATAAAATGTAAAATATACACATTTTCAGTAAAGTGTTTTTGTATCTGGCTGAGAGTGCATCAAAGACTGAATTCATGAGACGTTCTTGCTTAGTTTGAGAAAGTTGCAATAAACTTTCTGTGGCAGCCATACCTGCCTATAGTTCCTTCGAAAAAATTCCTGTCTGACCCGATCTGGATTTGGCCCAGGCAACAGCTACTCACACAGTTTGTCTGTCTGTCTGTTTGTTGGTTTTAAGCTATGGAGCAACATTTACAGTCCTACCACAAGTCAGGGGATTGGTAGAAATATGTGCCATCAGGGTCATGAAGGCCTTTAACCTTAGAGGAGCTTTTATCATCTCTTTTAGAATGGACACCCCATGGATGAGATGCTACATAAGGCAGCATAAAGGCCTTAATGCATCTGAATTGACCTGTAAGCCTCTACAAGTCAGTGGTAGTAAATGCTTAAAGGCAAACGTAAATTAAGTTCAATGGAGATACCTCCTCTGAACCAAAAAAACTGGAAGATTTCATCCACCTTCGTATTTGATGACTTTCACTGCTAGTTTCATGGAATTACCTTTCTTCATTTTGCCAATGACTTGTGATGGTTACAGTACTATATTAATTCTTTTGCACAAAAGGAAGGCATGCATAAAATATAATAAATAAATTAACCTACAATACAGTAAATAACAAATTAACCTGCATAAAAAGTAGTAACAAAATTTGGATAGAAACCTGTGCTTTGGAGGATTCTGCTTTCATGATACTATTTTAAGAGTAAAAATGTTCTCTCATCTCCTTCTGGTAAGCAGCATGCCTGAAGTAAACCTCTTTCCAAATGTAGCATTTTGCTATGGTGCTGTGCTCTTATTATGCACTGTCTTCTTTCATAGCTGAATCAAAATGCCGCTTCCCATCCAAATACAGCATCGATTCTGAAATGAAAAGCAGAGCATCAGGGCATCTGTTGCAATACTTCTTGAACTAAAGGCATATATAATGACACTGTTCAAGCACCTCAATATGGTCAGCTAGTTGACATTTCACGGGTTTCTTTACTTTTCATTTATTCAGATTTATTATATTTATATCCTAACTTTTATTTACAAGCAACTCAAGGCAACTTAGGCTGTCTTCCTCCTTGCTATTTTACCCTTACAACAACTTTGTGAACTTGGTTAGGCTGAAAGTCAATGACTGGCCCAAAGCCAACCAGTGAACTTGTTGGTTGAATAGGAAAAACAACCTAGATCCACCAAGTCCCAGTCCAACACTCTTAACCACGACACTCCACTGGCTTTCACATGGTTTTCACATATGGTCATATGGTTTTCATATGGTTGCTCCCAGAGTTAAGATAAAGCACATGCTACTCAATATTCATTATTGTTAAGAATACTTAAGTAATTCCTTCTTTCATTTAGGAGAGTTCCTATGAAGAAAATGGAGAGTAAAGAAGTAGACAGACCAATATTTTAAGATACTAAAAATGGAATACGAACCACTGACCTAAATGCAAATAGTATTTAAACTACAGGAGCACTAAAAACTGAATGCATACTATATCATAACTACTGTTCCCTAGGCTAGATAAATGAACCCAGGTGGAGAGAGAGGGGAAAGGGAATATATATATAGGGAGGCATAAACTACCAAAGTGAATTCCTGCTGGGCATATGAACCAACCAAGCCATTACTTTCACAAAACACTGAAACTCATCACACCATGTTACACACAGAGTTGCAATGGGGCATCCAAATAGCTACTCACCACCATATGTCTTGGGGACAACATCTGGTATCACCTTATCTAACATAAAAGTGAAATGGAAGACATTTGTGGTATGGTGTACTCTGGTATCTGGATCATAAACCTCACTGTGCACCCGAACCTGGATGTAATTTTTTTCAGTATAGCATACCTGTAAAAACATTTGGATGAAAAAGTTACTGGGTTTGCAAATTCAAAGGTGAACAAAGCAGACATGACATTTTATGTTTGAAAATGGAGGTTGGGACATGCTCACTGTCAGAGTGATTTCAGTGATTTATACTGATACAGTCTATAAAACGCTTGATAAAACAAAGCTATTACCTGAGAAGAAAGTAGTAATAATGATCCAATTTCAACTGGTTTTTGAAACATAATATCATCTACGGCTACCACATAAGGCCTGATATTTCTGGAGAACAAAAATATACATTTTTAAGGTGATGAGAGAATTTCTGCATTCTAAATTACATACAAAATTAGGAATTACAGCAACATTATAGGTATTTCCTGGGATTCCAAGTAGAAATTAATACCATGAAATAGAAGCTCAGTGAGGAACATTTCACAAATTCCTATACTACTGATTTTCAGGCTTAGATGATAGAAACCATGCTAAAAGCATCAAAATCACCATCTTGTATAGCCAAAGGCTCATCAGCTCCTGCTGAGCTTTTCCTAAATTCCAACTCATCTTCAAATGTTTTTATTGTACAAGGACATACATACACAGTATAAAGGCTTTATTATTTCACAGAGCTAAAATCACCTCAGAATACTCCTTATGAGGGGCTGATTTCACAACACATACACTATGGGAAATACATATTAACATAGCAATCAGGCTGCAGACAGGTGTGATTACAGAACAGTATGAAATACAATATGGAATGTCATATTCTTCTCAACTTGACCAACTTGACAGTACTACTTGTGAAAAACTGCCACAGTCTTGAATGTTAAGGTAGTATCCATGGACAAGCTGACACTACTCAGAAAAAGCTGGAAAGAAATGTATTAAGATGGCCAACAAAATTGGCTTATTCCTCAGAGGGCTGACAGTCGAGAATTAGCATAAAATCTCAATTACTGCAGAGTCATGCCATCTGTAATTGTGTGTGCACTTTGCAAACCTGAAGCTATTATCCACATCCATTGCCACTTGACAAACAGCATTAAGTGAGCCTTGATACTGCATTGCACCAATCTAGAACCAATTTTGGCATACCATTCCAGTGTTTTCACAGTCTGAGCTTTCACTCATGTACCCTCTACAAGCCAGGTCTTATCAAATTGGCCGAAAGATCATTGCATGCATCACTAATAGGGATCTGTAAAGCAAATAACTTCCTGGGTCCCTGTGCAGTCTGCTCCTTGCACACTTTGTACAGCATGAACAGGTAGGGCAGTTCTTAACAACCAAACCAAAGAGAAGAGGAAACCTGGGAAGACAACCAGGTAAGCCTCTCCTCCAGACTATAAAACTTGCTGGAAGGGGTCATACATATTGCTGGTTTACAACCTACCCATAGCTGTAGGCACAAGCCCATCCAAGTTCATATGCCTTTCTCATGAGAAATCCCCCAAAGATTCTGTTGAAAATGTTACGTTCCTATTTTCAGAAACACAAACAATTATTATACACTTACTTAGAACATTCTGCCTAAAAAGCTGTCTTCATTTCCAGTTCTCCACCAAAGTGTGGATAAAACAAGTAATTAGCAGCAGTTCACACAGCTAGAAAAACATTAGACCCAAAAGCATAAAACCTGCAATCCCAGCTTATGGCCTGCAGGCACATTAACCAACTTGGCCAGGATAGCAGCAGCATATGTTATTTTCTAGAACAGGAATGAAAAACCTACAATAACATCTCTGGTCGTATCTCTATGTACAACTCAAGGGTTGATTTTGTGAGTGCTCCAGATTTTATCCCTCCTCCACATATGTGCCTCTGTCTTTGTTGGTTCTACTTTTTAAATGTATGGTTTTAGGCTGGTGTGTTTCAAATGGATTGCTTTAATTGTGGAATTTTGTCAACTAAACTTTCAGAGATATTTGCACCCCTTTGGGAGCTTTTAAATTGTGGTGCCAGGTAAGATTGAAGGGGAGTGTGTGATTAATATCCTTAATACTGACTGAAAAATAATAAAGAAATGGCTCACAGTGGAAGTTGCAGAACCACTAAATATTGATTCTTATTATTAAGAAAGAAAACAATTCTAGCTACATTGTATTTTCTGGCACTGTAAGTTACAACCCTAAATGTCTATGTTCATAGTGGTATTTTTACTACTGGTGCAACTACTACCACTACTACTTCATTACATTATAGAATGTATATACTGCTTTCCTGTTTAAACCATGAGGAAATTTGACTCATGGCCCAATCCTAAAATACACTGCATTATGAAAGAGAACAACTGTCTTTACAGCAGACAGACTCAGTGATCAATGAGACTCGGACCAAATAGTTATGCTAACAATAAAAAGTATGCAGGGGTATGTGCATGCTGTTGTTATTTATTTTTATTTCTATTTTATATATACTGCACTGTGAGCCACCCAAAGAACCTCCGGCTATGGGGCAGCATACAAATGCGATAAACTGATCGATAGATAGATAGATAGATAGATAGATAGATAGATAGATAGATAGATATGCATCATGCGCAGACACACAATTGATCCTGTCAGTATGTTCAAAGCACATACCAGTACACAGGAGCTATTTTACAGATTCCAACAATGACCAAGCTTTGCTTTTTGGTTGCTAGACTGCAAAGCATACAGCCCAACTGGGGAGCCTCACTGGAGCCTATCTGAATGGGTTGCTACAGCACAATGCAGCTGCCTTGCATGTATGCCATGGCTTTTACTAAGGCCAGACAAAAGCTGGACCCATTCAGTAAATTTTGGGGCACAGGTGGTCCAGTCTCTTCAAGGCCATAATTCACATTGACACAAAACTGGGAAGACAAAAGGATGCAGAAAAGAAAAAAGTTATTTCTTAATATGTCAAATGATATTAGAAGACATTTGAGTGTTTCTGCCATTATGTTGCTAGAAGCAACCAACCAGTAATGCTTATATGATATGATTTGTGGACTTCCTCAGGTAGAAATAACTTTAGAATAATGCAGGCATAAAACATATCAAATAAGATTAAAGAATAAACTGACTTCTGAAGAGACCTTGGGACAAATTGCTTGATCATGAACAATTATCAAAGCTTCTCTCCTACATCAAAGTTGCAATTTGAACTGCAAAATATCTATTACAGAAACCATCACCTTGGATCAGGAGACGAATATCTATTTACCAAGAGCAAAAAGAGCCTAACTCATATATTTGCCCCTGATGCAGCTCTGCAAATACCTGAGGATGGCAAATCTCCAAACTCTTCAATTTTGTATCTTCCATCCACATGGAGTTGGGTGGCAACAAGCGACTACGAAAACTCACCGTTCTATGAAAAGAGAGGAGAGTTCAGATGGTGAAGGACAGGCATCATCCTAGTGTTACCAAGCAAGCTTTTGCCTAACTTCAGGGCTTCAGAGAACCATCCCTGCCCTGCCTCTGTTGCTAAAATTGAAAAAAAAAGTGGTGACATTGTTTGAAAACCAGGTGCACAGGAAAATACCCTTGTTCAGAAACAGAAATGCACTACTAGGTACAGAAACAAGGCACCTTTTTCAAGCTGTTCTTTCTTTTTTTCTTCTTTTTTTGCCACAGCAATGTTAGTAGCAGCAGCAAAAAGGTGGAAGAGGGTGCAAAATAGGTCAAGTGAACCTTGTGTTTCCCACCCCAGCCTAACAAGACTGAAATCATTCCATCTCCCTCTCCAGACAGAAACTGGGAGTGAGCGCCACGTACATTTCTCCTCCAGCTCAACTCTCTCCATGCAGGAATGAATGCCCAAACAGGGAATAAAATAATGTGCTTAGACTGGAAAAGCCTGGATCCTGATTAGTAGCCAAGAAATTCACTGAGGACACTTCTATACTCATCCTTTTCTCTGGAACTACCACGTGCTGTTCATTATGGAGCATCCAAATGACATCTCTGAACTGCTAGACTTCCATTACTTTCTGCATCTCTCTTCCCATATTTTTCAATATGTGACTTGTGACATGGCCATGTATGGCCATTTCTTAATGAAATGCAACTGTTTCTCCAGTTTGTCCAGACTGGACAAAGTGCTATGAAGGCTTCAGAAGGCTCCTCTGCTTTTCAATGAAAGACTGGCTCTCTGAAGATAAAGAAAGTTGTTTTTATGGCTTCCTCACTGGCAGAACAATGAGTTATTTCCTCTTGAGTAGCTTCTCTGTGAGTTGGTCCAGTGGATGGCTGTGAGAACTCTTAAGACCCACTGGGGTGTAGTGACTAGAATGTCAGACTAGGACCACAAAGAGCCAAGTTCAAATCCCCGCTCAGCCATGAAAATCACTAGAAGAGGACCCAGCTACTACCTCATAGCCTAACTTGCCTTAGAGGACCGCTGAGAAGATAAAAAGGAAGGGAAATCATTTATGTGGCTCTGAACACCTTTATATGTATAATACAAATGTAATAAATAAATAAAGGAATATTCAATGTTGTGTGCCCACACCCCATTTTAATGCCATCTTAGCTAATTGCAGAAAGGCAATATCTTAGGAGTGCTAACTGGTTTTAGCAGGGAAGCTACTTGGGTGATCTTGGCTTCATCCCTCCTCTCCCAGAGACATTTGTGAAAATAAATAGCATGGCCATATGTTTGCTGTCCAGCACTGCTTAGAGGAGAGGAGAGACAAGGGTCATAAAAATAAACTTCATAAATCTTCCCTGATGCTGCATATTAATGTCCGTTTCTCCAGCACTTTCAAAACCCAGGATTAGGGAAAACCTTGAGGTCATGCATTGCAGATTCCCTTAGTTCCGGCAGTCACTTCTGCATGTGGCATGAGGAGGAGAAATAACAACAGAACAATTAACTTTACATGTATCTTAATTAGATATGAAATCAATTTCATTCACATAATTAATGTGTTTGGCCTTGAGTCACAAGGGCAGCCCCATCTAGGCATCTGTTGACAGTGTTAGGCAGCCTCCATTTTTTCATAGTTTTTCTGGTTCTCTTCTATGAAACGTTAACACACACTTCAGAACTGAGCAGTCGAGGCTATTTCGTTTTATCAAAAACACAACATGAAAACAAGTGACTATGAGCAAACTACCTGTCCATTTTCTTTGCTTGTTCCCTTTTTTTTTCTTTTTCTTTTGGAGGATGGGACGGGGGTTTACTCTATTAGAGGAAGCCTGAATGTGTTGGGTTTTTTCCTGCATCTTTAGGAAGCTCATGATAGCTGTGTTCAGTTATGGAATTTGCTGGCAGAAGAAATGCTGATGACTATTGCTTTACATGGTTTTAAAAGGCAATTGAACAAACCAGTAAAGAATATGCCTCTCAGTGAGTTATGGGGGCTGTATTTATTTATTTTTATTTATTTATATTGCGATTTATTTCCTGCCTTTTTCCTACAAAGGGCTCAAGGCAGCTTACATCATCTCTCCTCCTCCATCTTATCCCCACAACAACCCTGTGAGGTAGGTTGGGCTGAGAGTCTGTGACTGGCCCAAAGTCACCCAGTTGGCTCCATGGCTGAGTGGGGACTAGAACCCAGATCGCCTGAGTCCCAGTCCCATGCTCTTAACGACTACACCACTATTTACTAGGGACACATTTCCTGTGTCTAGTTTCCCAGCACCACCCAGTTAGCCACTATGAGAAACTGAATTCTGGATTAGATAGGCCTTTGGCTCTTACATTTACATATGCAGGACCTGCAGTGTGGAGGGATCTCATTCAGAGTTCCAGCCAACCATGCCCTCTTCCAGGACACTATTCCATTCCCCTTTACCCTCAGTTTCTTTGTGTGGGAGGGGTGTCCTTCTCAAGCCATTCAACTTTCTATGGCCACTGAGCATGTTTGCTTCCCACTGGTTGCCCTTTAATTTGTTCAAAAGTTTCTTTGCATTTCTGCAAGCTTTTGGGTTTACTCTAGTAATACTCTCCTCTTGTGCTTGGATGGCACTGTTTTGACTAGCTACACTCAAAGAGTTGTGTTTGCCATTAGTACACAGCGGGAATGTACAACAGGTGGACTACTTGTGGCCTGCTGGAAATTTCTGTAACTTCACTTCAACAAATTGCTGCCAAAAGCTGAGTGCAGGCACATTTTCACTTTAAAACAAGGCATCCAGGGGCCACATATCTTGTTTTAATTAAAATCTGTACTCCCCAAGGGCTTCCAAGAGTCCAATTATACATTAAAACAAGAAATCCACCCCTCTCCCCAGTGGGGCTTGTTTTAGTGCGGGGGATGGGGTGTTTTAGCAGCAATGTGGTGGCAATAATTACACTTGGGGAACATATGGGGCAAACTGCCCCCTGGAACCTTGGAGGTTCCCTGTCCTGGCATATAAGATGGAAAGTTGGGAAAGTTTGAACTATGCTAATTCCTTTGCAATTATTACATGGTATAACTTTGGCACGAATATGGAACAGCAAATCTTCTATAAGTGAGGACAAATAACTGAGAATAAGAATGATCACTTGTCACCTTTAAAAAATGCAAAATCAGAAATACTCTAAGCAATCATCGTAAGCATTAACCATTCCAGTGTCTACCTTGAGTCCAGTGTATTAAGGAATAAGTTGTGGATAATGTTTCTTTCATCTGCAGTAGGAGCCATTTTTAGCAAGGAGGCCCGAGAGGAATCAATTCTTCTGACCTTGTTCACTAATCAATACATGAAAAATAGAACATAAAAGCAATAAAAAGTTAATGGGTTTAAATCACCTCCCACAGCAATATCCAACCCCTTTTATGTCAGCAGATAATGATGCACTACTGGCTATGGATGTTGGGAGCTGCAGTTCAACGAATCCGGAATGGGCAATATTGGGTGCTTACATTTAGAAAATGTAAACCATATCAGGAAAAAAAGGTGGTGCCTATTGCTTACCTTATTCACTGAAGAGACAGCATTAAGTTAAAATCAACAGCAATATGGGAGTAGTCTCTGGGTGCATAATGCGTAATGTGAAGCTGCTTGCTCAAGCACTTGTGCAACAGGTCACACAAATGTAGTGCACTATTGGTTGCACAGTAGCCTGCACAAGCATAATGCACAAGTACTCATGCAGCTACACTTAACAGAAATGTAACTTTAGTTGGAGCCTCCTCTCGTGCATAGTTCAGAACCTCACTTCTCTTGGCGCAACATTATTTGCACTAATGGAATAACACAGTTGTATATTGTCCAATAGGTTTAAATGATACAAACACATGTTCAAAACTAAATATTCAAAGATATTTTATAGCTATCAACATAAGTTCATCTGTGTAGGAAGCCATTTACAGATACATTATTTTCAAACATTAGTTTATTTATTATTTATTTAAAACATTTCTATGCTGCCCCCATCGCAACAAAGCCTCGGAGCGGCTCACAACAAAAACAAAAACATACAAAATTATACAAAAATTAGTTGAGAGGTATCTCTCAGAGATGCTTTCAGTACATTGTGTTAGTGTTTCTTGTTTTACTTCTCTGAATGCATTGTCTTTAAAATCTTCCAAAGCAAAATTCTACAGGATATTTCACTGCTACTTGTCAGCTAAAAAAGCCAGTGTGGTGTCAGTGGTTAAGAGTGCAGGACTGGGACTCAGGCAATCTGAGTTCTAGTCTCCACTCAGCTATGGAACTAACTGGGTAACTTTGGACCAGTCACACACTCTCCATCTAAACTACCTCACAGGCTGTGATAAGTTTGAAAGGAGAAGAATTATTTAAGCCACCTCAAGTTCCTTGAAAGGAAAAATGACAGAATATAAATATAATAATAAATACACTGAAGTGCAGGTAATGTAATAAATATAATGCAAAACTACAAGCAAACAAGCTAAATGCCTCCTAATAGCACATCTAGTTTATCATTCCTATATAAAATTAAATAAAGTATAAGCAAAATAGCCTCTAGAATTTTGCTTTGGAAGATTTTCTATGGCACAACTTAAAGACACTTTACTAAACAATATTTAGATTCTAAATACTGCAAGTAAAGAAATAAAAAAGAAAACACTAACACAGTGTTGTTGGCTAGCTTTAAAACAACATCCCTTAATATAAGAAATGACGCTACTAAAATTCCTCAAGGTTAAATACAAGGCAATTCAGATTAGTGACTACCAATATAACCTGCTTAGTGAAGCAAAATCAAATGAATCCCCTTTGTTCCTTTGATGGATCAAAGTATATTAATCCTGCCTGGCTTTATTATGCACAGAAATTCCTTAATTGGGAAACCAAAATGCAGCAAAGTCAGATAGAGGCTCCATCAGCATTTTGGCCAGGGAGTGAAGTACACTGGCTGGACCACACTCAGTGACATCATGCAGGGGACACTGGACGACCCCTCCACGAAGCCCACAGAGATCAGGATAGGGAATCATCCAGTCTACATTGGTTTTCCATCCCTGATCTAGCATTTCCCCTTGAGCTGCCAACATACTGAGGTGTGGATAGTTTAAACCATGGGTCCTCAAACTATGGCCTTCCATCCGGCCTGTACCGCCGTTCCCTGCCCTTGTGCACACTTGCTGCACGGGTGGGGAGGTGTTGGCTTGTTCACTCGGAGATGGTTTTGGACTCGCTGGGAGATTTCTGAGGGAGCGAGTCACCAAGCCACCTCGTGCGCGCCTGACGGCACCTCACCAGCCCGCACTCCCAGGCACCCCCACCCCACCGGCCTGCGACAGTTACCGCAGCCTTTCAATTTGGCCCCTATTCAAAAAGTCTGAGAACCCGTGGTTTAAACAGAATAAACAGATGGCAGGTTTGTAACAAGACAACAAGGAAAATTAAATTCCTTATTTTGACATTCATTTGGCATTTCCACATCATATTAAAATATGTATACTCCAGAGAAGGATGGAACTCTCAAAGCCTGAATTTTATGAGCAAACATGTGGAACAAAAATTCTAGAGATGCATACATCATGTTACTTTCTGATCACTTTCTATTAAAAATACCACTTGTTTCTAACTTCAAGCAAACCACAACTGTAAATACACCCAGTATCAAATGGTATTCATTACATACGTTCTCCTTCCTTGAATATGTTTTCTTCCTCTGGAGTTTCAAGAATCAATGGATTCACAAACGCTGGCCTATGGAGACACACAAAAATATATTTAGACCAATATGCTTTATAAAAGAAGAAATGAACAAGGAGGCTCTCCCTTTGGCTCCACCACTGCATATATGATTTCTGTTTTAGTAAACGAGCATGCATGTGCCTGCTTAAGTGGTTTTTTAAGACAGCAGCATTTACTTATGTTCACTCAGAATATATACTTTATTTAACCTGAAAAGATGGTGAGCTGAACAGAATAGCCTAGGGAGACTACCATAGCTTGTCATTGGTCCCCAGATCTTTCTGGACCAGAGGGCACATCTGAAATCTAAGAAGGTATTGATGGTGCCATGACAAATGGGCTGCCATGGAAGGGGTGCTCATTAACAAAATGGCAGCTGGGCTGTGTGAGGCCACCCCATTTCACAGAAAGGCAAACTGGTGAGTCTAAGAAACAAGTAACTTGCCAAGAACCATTGAACAAAAGGCAAAGGCAAGCTATGAGTCTCAAAATAAAAAGCCGTACCTTTGAACCCACAGTTTCCTCTCTCATTCAAGATCTCACTCTCCTAGCACACAAGAATCATTCACCCATTGTTTCACCCATTCTCTTCCCATCACCAACACACACACACACCAAAATATATCCACATTCCTCCTTGCTTTCTTATCCTCTCAGATCTTACTGCAAGCCACCCAATAAGCTCCCACTGCTCCCCTGCCCCATCCCCCACAGCAAACTATGTAGCAAGCTTTTCATTTCATTCTGTTTCATTTTTAAAAATATTTTTTGGTGGGAGTCACCTGACCCTCTTTCTTTCTTTCTCCAGAATGACGAATGGGCCCACATGGGCCCAGAGGCACTTCTCTAAAGAGAAAGGGTAGAGCAGTTGGACGTGGGCATTTTGCTTTCTAGTCCAAGATTAAAAGAATTTAAATAACACACACCTCAGTTGGGAGGGAGGGAATGCCAGTGGTTAGCAAAGGAGTTGCAGGGGTCAGTGGGGTCCCAGGGATTCCAGGCTGCTAACTCCATGCTTAACAGATGCCCGGTCTACTTCAAATCTCCATATGTACACATAATTTATTTTGTATCTTAGGTGCTCATGCAAAGCATTATATTGTACAATCCAACCTTGAACACATTCTAAACTATAAAAATATACTTTTGTACATGCAAAAACTATCAATTTATTATACTATTTATTATACATTAAAAAGTAGCTTTTATTGGTACTTTTCCCCATCATGTCCTGAAAACTCTTATAATGAATTAGCTGCAAAAGATGTGCAGGATCACATCATTACAACATGGGAATGGCCAGATGTGACTGTGAGATCCACATGCATCTCTGAAGTTGCTGTCCGACTGTCCCCCCTTTTACAATGGCCAGCAAGTGAAGCCATTTTCTGGCCACTTCCCAAGAATTGGGCTCAGACTTTAAGCACAGGAGTAAGGAAGCAGGAAGTAGGAAACACCCTTAAGTGATAACAAAGGGGAGAAGGGTGCTTCTTAATAATCTGCTTTAAGGAATCAAGAATTGGAAGGACAATACCACCCACTTTATTCTCATGGCTACCCACATGTCTCAGAGAACATCCTATATGGAAGTATAATTGAGATAGTTATAGCCCTTTCACACTGCCCCTCCCCACCAAAAAGCCCCACTCATTCGAAAATCCTATAGGCCTGATTCTTTCTCAGACCTGGACTTTCAAAAGCTACTTCTGGCAATTTACCAGGCAAGTTGCAAAAACTCTGTTCTCCCTCCATATGCCTAGATACTTTTCAAAAAAATTGATATGGAGTCTGTGGTGTGGATAAGGCAAAACATTTGCTATAATTTCTTGTGGGCTAAATCCAAAGGGGAAAAGGATGCCAATACTGTAGGGGCTTTTTTCAATGCCCCTACAAACTGCTTGACCATGCAACAATAGCACTTCTCTGTTCGGGAACTAGACATTTACAATTTAAGATTTATTGTTGCTCTTGTTTCAGGCCTTCCTTATTTATTTATTTATTTATTTAGAAAATTTCTATGACGCCCCATTCGCCGAAGCCCCAGGGCGGCTCACAAAACATGAAAATATAATACATTAAAAATATAAAATGAATTTACAATATAAAATAAGTCGCCCTGGCCAAAGAATAAAATAAGGAAATAATATTAGCAATTAAAATGATGTTTGAATAAAAAGGTCTTCGCCTGGCGCCGAAAAACAAATAATGACGGCGCCAGGTGGACCTCTCTGGGGAGCACATTCCATAGACTGGGCACCACCGCAGAGAAATTAGAGTATATCTAATTACTACAGAAAATTTCTGATCACGTTCCAGTCCATTTGGCATGTGATGCACTAATTCGGTTTACTGCTCTAAGCCAGAATAGAATCACATTCACAGAAAATGGGTCACAACAACCTTTGAAGCCTGTGAGCACATTTGGCATTTTAGCAGCTGTCCGGGGAACAACCATAAAATGGCTGCCATGGATGAGCATGGCTAATCACATAGGACAAGGAACGTGCCAGGAGGCATTCATGGGACATTACAAGAGGAGTAGCTGGATGCTCCCACTTTGCTTTGATGCAAGTCTAGCTGCCAGTAAGAAAATATTAAAACATTTCAAAAAGTTAATTAGAAAGAAAGGCGTGTCTTTGTGGACACCAAGTAAAGAGTTCAGGGGCACCACATTGCCTGTCTCTGGCTTGTGGGGTTTTTTAAGCCTGAAAGAAGGCAAGAGCCTTGCTTATGTCTTGATCACCTGGAAGTCATGGATATGACAAAAAGTACTTTTTACATCCTACAGCCTTCTAGGATTAATATATTTAAATGAAGCCTCTCTGCATTCTCCTTATTTATGCATAAACGTTCTACCTCCATGTTTTTTCCCTTTCCTCCTCTACCACCAAAAGATTATTCCACCTGTGAACTATTTCCAATGGCTTGCTCGAAACATTACCTTTTATTTTCTGGATCTCGGGCCACCATGACAAAAGTTGCATCTAACACGGGGCAATAGACACCATTAAGTAACTGAAAGAAAATTAAAAGGAGGAAAATACTGCTTAACAAGTTATTCAGTTTCTACTGATTCCAATGAAGATCTTGGTGTTTTGGCTTCATGTTGGTTTGAAACTCCATGAACCTCTGCATAGGAATAAAATGGAAAAAGGCCAGCACCCATTTCATTAAAAGCATTGCTTCAGTATTCACATATACTTTAGTTTTTATAGCGATGAATTACAAATCTTTCACAATTTATAGTTAAAATTGCAAATGATAACAAATGTGAGCTGAAACGCCCCTTATTATTACATTGACAGACAATCCAGGAACTTCCAGATGTCACAAGACAACAACTCCCATCATCCCTTGCCATTGATTTCACTGGCTAAGGCTGATGGGAACTGTAGCCCAACAACATCTGGGGATGCCTGATGCTTCCTTACATCACCATTTCTGAAATCCTGGACCAAAACTGTCCTATAACAACTCTACCATTAGGACACCATATGCTGGTAACTGTCACCACAGATAGAGCTACTCTTATGGGTTCTATTTAATTCTATAGAATACATTCCTCTTACACAAGAGCCCTGATCTCACATGCCTGAAAGATCAAACATCTGTATCTGAAAATAAAAACTGCTTAAGGAGAGACTGTCCAAGATTACAACAAGGATCAGTGAAAGTGAACTTTCTTTTGATTTCAGTCAGCACTCTGCTTTTTCCTCCAAAAGAAAGTCCAAAGGGACTAACAGTAGACAAAAGAAAACAGCAAAAGACAAAAAATATGAAATATTAGGTAACTCTAAAAATGCCACTGTAACTTTTCCTTTGCTGTGCATAATTGTGGTTTTCATATGAATAATGAATGGGATAAAAGTTCCTGGGAATTATGGGTTGGATCCCGCATATGCCTTCCAGGGACAGAAGGGACTCATGCAAGGTGCCTCCACCTAATTCTGGAGAGATTTCCCCCTGCCACTCAGCACTGCAACCCTCAGTGTAGCGTTTCCACTGGGCTGAAAAGCCGGCTGTGGTGAGGAGGGGACAGTGGAGTCCACTTTGACCTACCCCCTTGCATACTGCTAAATCTGGATCCAAGGCTATACAGAGCAAATTTGTATGACTATTCTAGTTCGTGTATTTGTAAAACATAGAAAATGACTGTTCAGTTGATGAACAATACAAAATGTATAAGCAACATACCAAACAAGGGAAACAGCCAGCCAAATTGCAGCCAAAAATGTACATTATCCTAATTGTGTAGCTGCAAGTTAGTTTCTTATTTATGGTAGCGTAAGAAATTATGACCACCATATATCAGGAGCTGAGGATCAAGTAAAACTCACAGATGCACAGTTTCACCTCTGAAAGCCTTCCTTGGCTTGGCTTTCAGACCGCCATACTCCAGTACCCAGCCATTTGAACACCATGTTACAGAAGCTAGACAGACTACAGAACCAGCAAAAGCTAAGAGAAGAATTAGGGACAGCAATGCGGAGCTGGCTGGTGCCGGAGGTCAGACTAGATGGCCTGGGAGACCCCTTCTGACTTGCTCTGTTTCTATGTTTCTAAGAATAGCAGAGGGTACAAACAGCACTCATTAACTAACCTGAAGCATGTGCATCTTCACTTCCATGGATGTTTTTCCTACCCATGAAACATTTCCAGTGAACTTGATATCAAGATCGGGATGAATGTGCTGCTCCCACAACCCTGAAAGCATACAAGACACCAACACAGAAGCTACATCTGGATTCTTTAGGCCGGGACTAGACAACATGTTTTGTACAACTCCCATAATCAGTTACTATTGACCATGCAGGCAGAAGCTGATGGATGCAGTAGTCCAAAACATCTGGAGAGCATCAGGTTGCCTTCCCCTGTGAGGATGACTTTCTACTGTTTCGCTATGGCACACTACAGAACAACTGGAAAATGAAGGATGCACACAAGGTTCACACAGTTCTGGTCCCTGCTGACCCATCTGCCATCCCTGTTTTACCATCAGCTACATGTTGGAAAAGCATTTTGTAATCTTGTATAATGCCTAACAGATTTTAAGCTCGACATTTAATATTTAAGCATGTTTTCCTGCCCTGTCTACATTACTGACTGCTTCTGGGGGTGCCAGGCTGGGAGTGCAAGCAGGGAATGACAATTATATTACACAACATGTTTCCCTGAGCAAATATTACAGAGAGAAAGGATGCACAGATGTCATTTTGGCAACAAATGTACCTTAATATTTATTGAACTCTTGGAAAGGGGTGTAGTTTTTTGCTGCCCTTCCCTCTAATATCTGGGTCAGAATTAAGGGCAGTCTTCCTACTGTCACCCAACACAGTATATACTCCCAATAAAGGCATTAAACTATTAATAAATGAAACAACACTGTACCAATTTTATCCACCAATGCTGTAACGATTGATAAAGGAGATTTCTGAGTCCCTTCTTGTTTTGTGTGAGTATAACAAATGAGAACTGTAGAAAAACAATAAAGAGGTGCTGCATTAATGATTCTCTGCAAAGATGAGGTCTTTGTGCCATCAAAAGTTTTCTTAAGAGTACCAGCAAGCACAGAAAGTTCATGAAACATCCCATTCACAATTGATTCAATTTGTCAGATAAAGAGCACAAACAGATGCACTGCAGAGGTTACAAACAGCAAACCTTCTGGATTTTGGAGATGGTTCTAAACACGTGCATTTAGTATCAGACATGTTGCTAAGCATTTAATGAGGTTTATGGCCCAGGTATATAGGACATAAATCTGCATAAAATGTACTTGTTGATTTATAATTTACATATGCAAAAGTAGAAATGATTATTAGAATGCATTTAAATTTCACAGGAGGCAAAGTCATGTCAGTATTTTCAGGCCCAAACAATCTTAAAAACAAACAAACAATTAATTCACAGCTTGTCCCATATCCTTCCAATGGAAAAACAGTTTTTTCCCCTAAGTTTAATTGCTATGCAGACAGAAATGGGGCAGCAAACCAGTGGGAATGCTGAGGCATACGGAGAATGGACAGTTAGCCTTTCCCCACAACAGCTGCACTCCCCCTTGAAAATCTCTCTCTCTCTCTCTCTCTCTCTCTCTCTCTCTCTCTCTCTCTCT